TCCCCCGATCGAGATATCCTCCGTTTCGCCCAAAAGAAAGATTAATTAAATCATTAAAAATTTGGAGCGTGAAGTGCAATTAGATCCCTTTTTGAGGGGAATTCATATTATTCTCAATTAGAATAATTTATGGTTAGCTTGATTGGACTAATCAAATGAAATATCCAGGCTCCGTTTAAAAAAAATCCAATTGGTAATCTATATGATTACTACTTGTATCATAAACGATTCGATTCCTATTTATAAAGAAAAGCAATCTCAAACCGTTAATCAATCGACTAATATTGATGAATACATCAAATATTTGGCAGAAGGCATGAAATGAATTAAAAAAAGGAAGTCATAGCAAAAAGAAGTGGTAAGGGGAGCATTTGTCCTATATGTGCAAATAAAAATTGGGCATATCTTTACCCGGAGTAGAGCATAAACCTAAAAAGATTGAAGAGGCCTATTCAGGAACAAGAAAATGACATCGTGATTTGGATTGGATCTCGATGAAACAATACATCAATGAGAAGTTAATTCGATAAGTTTTGAATTCTTTTTTTTTATTATAAGTAAAGAAGCCAAAAAACGTCTTTATAGAAAAATCGAAGAAAAAGTCCTTTCGTTATTAGAAAGAGCCTACTATGAAAAAAGAAAGAGGACTGGAATCTACACATTGATTCTTTTTTTCGCAATTTTTTTTGAACCGTATGCCTCAAAAGGTGCATGTACGGTTTTTAAGGGATACAATTTTACCCTAATCAACCGACTTTATCGAGAAAGATTACTTTTTTTAGGTCAAGGGGTTGATAGCGAGATCTCGAATCAACTTATTGGTCTTATGGTATATCTCAGTATCGAAGATGATACCAAAGATCTGTATTTGTTTATAAACTCTCCTGGTGGATGGGTAATACCTGGAGTAGCCATTTATGATACTATGCAATTTGTGCAACCAGATGTACATACAATATGCATGGGATTAGCTGCTTCAATGGGATCTTTTCTCCTGGTTGGAGGAAAAATTACCAAACGTCTAGCATTCCCTCACGCTTGGCGCCAATGAGGTTTTTTTTTCTCAAAAAAAAAGACTATGCCTTCGCCATATGAAATATGAATATTAAGTAAAAATAGCATGGCATTTCGAATTCGATATGAGAAAAATTTTTCTTGTTTTTTCAAAAGAGTAGATTATATTTATATATCGAGAGAGTAGTATGAGATAAAGGGTATTTCCGATTTTATCTTATCTATCGGGAGTCCAGTTCAGCGTCACAAACTTTAACTTTTTTCTTTACTTTTTATTTGATCGGATCAAAAAGAAACTTTGGGATTGCTGAATCAGAGACAAATAAATTTCTGAACGAGCATATTATGCAATATCACCAAGTGCTCAACTGGTGACGTTTGAGTCTCAAGGTCGGTCAAAAACGGGGTGTCTACAACGGCACAATTTGCCGTTACAAAAAATATGACCTTTTGAGATGACACAACTTGCCGTCACAAAAAATGTGCCTTTTTGAGACGGCACAACTTGTCGTCGCAAAAAAATGTGACTTTTTGAGATGGTACAACTTGCCGTCGCGAAAAATGTGACATTTTGAGACGACACAATTTGCCGTCGCAAAAAATGTGCCTTTTTGAGACGGCACAACTTGCCGTCGCAAAAAAAATATGACTTTTTGAGATGGTACAACTTGCCGTCGCGAAAAATGTGCCTTTTTGAGACGGCACAACTTGCCGTCGCAAAAAAAATATGACTTTTTGAGATGGTACAACTTGCCGTCGCGAAAAATGTGACATTTTGAGACGACACAATTTGCCGTCGCAAAAAATATGACTTTTTGAGACGGCGCAACTTGCCGCCGCAAAAAATGTGCCTTTTTGAGACGGCACAGCTTGCTGTCGCAAAAAAAATATGACTTTTTTAGACGGTACAACTTGCCGTCGCGAAAAATGGGCCTTTTTGAGACGGCACAACTTGCCGTCGCAAAAAAAATGTGACTTTTTTATTCAAATAATAATAATAATTTTTTTTCATTAAAATAAAAATAAAACAAATAAATTTTCAATCTATAACTAAAAAAAACAGATTTTCTTTTTAAAATTCATTAACTGCAAAAAAAAAATATTTTAACAAAAAATAATTTTTTTTTGGCGACGGCAACCCCCGTCGCAAAAAAAAAAAAGAAGGTTAAACCACGTTTTGTTGTTTAAATTTCATTTGTGACCGATTTTTTTTTTTTAATTTGTTCGGCTTCTCATTTCCATGTATTTTCAGTTTTATTTTGTTATATTTTTTATTTTTTTTACCTGGTCTCTCTCTTTCTCTCTGTGTCTCTCGTCCATCTCTCTTCTCTCTATCTCTCTCATCTCTCTTTTTTCTCTCTCTCTCTTCTCTTTATCTCTCTCGCTCATCTCTCTCTGTCTCTCTCTCGTTTATCTTTTTTTGCTCTTTTTTCTCTCTCTTTTTGTCTATATCTTTTCACCTATTTTTTCATATTCCTCTCTCTCTTCTCTTTCTCTCTTTCACTCATCACTCTTCTCTATTTGTCTGTCTGTCTATATGTCTCTTTCTCTCTATGTGTCTCTCACTCATCTATCTCTTCTCTCATCTCTTTTCTCTCTCTGTCTCTTTCGTTCATCTCTCTTCTCTCTATCTCTCTCGTTCATCTCTCTTCTTTCTCTGTCTCTTTTTCTATCTCTCACTCTCTATCTTTTTCTCGCTTTGTTTCTCTCTCTTCTCTTTCTCTCTCTAACTCATCACTTTTATCTATCTGTCTGTCTCTCTCTTTGTTTCTTTGTCTCTCGCTCATCTGTCTTCTCTCTATCTCTCTCATCTGTCTTCTCTCTCTGCCTCTCTCACTCATCTCTCTTCTCTTTATCTCTCTCTCCCTCATCTCTCTTCTCTCTATCTCTCTCATCTCTTTTCTCTCTATGTCTCTCTCGCTCATTTCTATATATGTCTCTCTCTCGCTCGTTTTTCTTCTCTCTCTATGTCTTTCTCTCGTTCATCTCTTTTTGTTCTCTTTCTCTGTCTTTTTGTCTATCTCTCGCTCATCTCTTGTTTCTCTCTCTCTCTCTTTTTCTCTATGTCTCTCACTCTCTTTCACTCATCACTCTTTTTCTCTCTATCTGCCTGTCTATTTGTCTTCCCCTCATTATGTTCTCCTTGCTTACTCCGCTCTCCCTTCTTTTTTATTTACCAAGCTATCTTCGATTTATCGAGACACTACAAGAAAATGCACTTTTAGTGACCACTTTGTCTTTCTATCGCTCATCACTCTGTCTCTATCTCTCTTCTCTATCTATCTCTCACTGATTTCTCTCTCACCACCCATCTCCTCTACCACCTTCACCGCTACTGCAAATGACATTCCACTACCACAACTACTACCGCTGTTGCCACTCCGCCTCTACGACTATCATTACTACCACCATCACCACCACTTCACTACTACCATTACTACTACCATTACCTCTCATCCATCACCGCTACTCTATCTCCTCTACCACTACCACAACTTCACCACTAATCTCATTCACTATCACCACCACCGCCACTATCACCTCTTATCCACCACCTTCACCACTACTGCCGCTCCCTATCCTCTACCACAAAAAATTAGTTCATGATTTTTAGTAACCCCCAATCTCCCCCCCTTGGCCCGCCTTTTTTTTTCCATTCCCGCTCGGGTTACCAAAAACCCCCAATCCTGTCTCTTTGTCTCTGTCTCTGTCTCTCTTCTCTTTCTCTCTCTCACTCATCACTCTTCTCTGTCTGTCTGTCTCTTTCTCTCTATGTCTCTGTCTCTTTTCTCTTTCTCTCTCTCACTCATCACTCTTCTCTGTCTGTCTATCTGTCTCTCTCTTTCTCTCTGTGTCTCTCGTCTATCTCTTTTCTCTCTCTTCTCTTTATCTCTCTCTGTCTTTCTCTCGTTTATATCTTTTCGCTCTTTTTTCTTTATTTTTCTTTATCTATCTCTTTTCACCCATTTTTTCATCTTCCTCTCTCTCTTCTCTTTCTCTCTATTACTCATCACTCTTCTCTCTCTGTCTGTTTATCTGTCTCTCCCCCCTCTCTCTCTGTGTCTCTCACTTATCTATCTCTTCTCTCATATCTTTTCTCCCTCTATCTCTTTCGCTTATCTTTCTTCTCTCTATCTCTCCTACTTATCTCTCATCTCTCTTTGTCTCTCTCGCTCATCTTTCTTCTCTCTGTCTCTCTCATTCATCTCTTTTATTTCTCTATCTCTTTTTCTGTGTCTCACTCTCTACCTCTCTCTCTGTCTCTTTCTCACTCATCACTCTTCTCCGTCTGTTTGTCTGTCTTTGTCTCTGTCTCTGTCTCTTTCTCTCTTTGTCTTTCGTTCATCTCTCTTCTCTTTATCTCTCTTCTCTTCATCTCTCTTCTTTCTCTATCTCTCTTGCTCATCTCTCTTCTCTCTATCTCTATCTCTCTCACTCATCTTTCTTCTCTCTCTGTCTCTGTCTTTTTCTATGTCTTTCTCTTGATCATCTCTTTTCGCTCCCTTTATCTCTCTCTTTGTCTATCTCTCGCTCATCTCTTATTTCTCTCTCTTTCTCTCTCTGTCTCTATTACCTCTAATCTCCTTTGCCATCACCATCACCACCACCATCACCTCTTATCCACCACCTTTACTATTATTGCCGCTCCCTCTTCTCTACCACAAAAAATTAGCTCTTGATTTTTAATAACAAAAAAAAAATGGGTCACAAAATAATATTTTTCATTGACCATAAAAAATTAATTTTATTTTAACAGAAAATATTTTTTATTAAAATATTACCTCTACTTCTACAAAATAAAAAAAAAATTATTAAAATAAAAATAAAACAAATTTTCCTCTTTTTTTCACTGACTCACTGGACGGCCCACCCAAATTTTCCTCTTAATTTCCCCCATTTTTTTTCCCTCTGCCTTTCCCTGCCCTTTTTTTCATTTCCTTTCAGTTTTGTAGAGCCCTTAATTTCGCGACACTGTTTCAAAACAGTGAGCAAACCTAATTTGAGAGAGAGAAGATAGAGGGTTTGAAGAGAGACTGGGGTTGAAGGGGAAGGGTTTCAATCGGCGGCGAGACTGGTTCAGCTTTCGTTTCTCTCATAAAAGGAGTCTACCTAATAGCCTTGGACTCTTCGTTTCTCTCATACTCCTCACCTCTCCCACAAAATCCCATTTTTTTCTCAGCTTTCTGGGTTCGATTTTTATCTTTTTTTTCCCTTATTATTATTATTATTTTGGGTGTTATATATGATTTATACTGATATTTGCATATGCAGATCTAATCTTAATTTGGCTTTTTATGATGTGGGTTTGATGTAGATTTTGAGCGTACCCAGAAATGGAGAGTGGTTTGGATCCCCAGATGAGCAACACCTCTCATGGGTCGGAAGATGAGTCTTTGATGGAGATGGGATCTGGAAGTTTTGGGTAATTCTTTACTTTTTTAATTTTTTTTAAATATTTACAATTTCTAACCCATTTGTTTGTTTAGATTCTCTCACCTTTTTTTTTTTGGTTAAAATTTGGAGATAATATATATTTGTGTATATATAATTGTCAGGTGCTCACATTACAGAAGGAGATGCAAGATCAGAGCACCTTGTTGTGATGAGATATTTGATTGCAGGCATTACCATAATGAATCCAAGGTCTTTTAATTTTAAATTTTTAATTTTAAAAAGTTTTTTCAAGTAATATTACTGCTACTGCTAATGTTGTTAGTTTTAGTTTGTTTTTGTCTTGCCAAAAAAAAAAAGAAGTAATTTCATGGTATTTTTTAACATAATTTGCTAGAAATTGATCATCTCAATTGGCATGAAATTCATGCTGTTAGTTTTAGTTTCTTTATGTATTTAAAACCAAAACTAAAACATAAAAAAATAAAAAATAAAAATTGATTTGGTATTTTCAAACAGAATTCGCTTGAAGTTAATCCAATATACAAGAAAATGAAAGGAAAAGAGAAAGAGAAAAAGGAATTTCTAAATCTAAATAGAACTATTTAGAAAGTTTACCTCAAATGTCTATCACTTGTAAGAGCTGTATAATATATTTCTCTCACTGTTAACACTTTAGGTAGGTCTTCGTTCTTTGGTTTGCAACTTTTTAGTTTCAAATATTTTGTCTACTACTAGAACTTCAAGCTTCAGTGGACGTGGGTGGGCTTATCAATGTCATAATATACTAAACAAGTAGATATTTGTGAAGCAAGTTGACAAAAACGAAAGAAGTTCTTATTCATCTCAATGAACCTTTCTAACATTTTTTTAATTTTGATAAAAAATGTACATTTTAACAACATTAATTTCTTAAATGTTCATTTATCTTTTGCACCAATGCTAAAGAAAATTTAACCATTCATGTGTTGTGTATCATATCTTTTTATCATATGCATCATATTTGCACCTTAAGATACATTCAATATAAGATTTACCCCTGGCCAGTTCTGCCTGTAGGGCCAGGAGCTGGTTTGGGGAATCATAGAGCCTATGGAATCCCAACTGGCTCATGGGTTCCCGCCTCAGCATGTATTAGTGATACATATCAATTTACCTCTAAATGGATTGGGTCGTGAATTATAAGATACTGACAAGACTTGTACTAATAGACATGAGAGACATGCTTATAATGTGAAATATGAATTTTCTTTTTTTCTTTTGAAGATGTCATTCAAAGGATAACTAACTTTTTGATGGTTTTGAATACTTTTAACATTTTAAAAAAATAAAGGATGCTATTGAATCGCACAACACTGCTCGTTGCAGCATTGGTCCAACTAAGGGTGTTGGAGATCTTAACCTTGAAGCTTTATCTGCTCCACAGAAGAAGGGAAATGAGAAGATTTTTATTTTGATTCAGGCTTCTGCCTATAATTTGCATCCCTCCATGTTTGTGGCCATCAAAAGTGATGTCTGATATATTATTTTGTAAGTTTTCATTTTTCTTTGTGAACAAAGTAGTAACTAGACGAGGTTACACTACTGCTGCATTCTTTGTTGTCGTCGTTCTACCTGTGATGTAGAATTCTTCTACTTTCAGAATTCCCATGAAAATGAAATTCCACCAGGCTGTGCCTATTTTATGAGATACCCTCTCTTAGCTTACCCTGCTTGTTCGGGTAATTTTCTTGTTAAAATGGCTATCAGATTCAATTATTGTGAAATAAATTGTAGATGTTAATGCGTTTGATATAATGACCATTTTTATTTTATTTTTATTTTAGTTTATGAAGCTTGAAGGCTTCTAAATTGTTGTCTTGAAGCAATGTTCTTGCTATTACCTAACAACATCTCTAATGATTCAATTGCAAACAGACAGTTATTGCTATATTTTAGTAATGAATAATGACAAAATACTAAAGTTTAGGAATGTTGTTTTAGTAGTTACTTTGCTATTTTTTTTTAGATTTTTCTCTCAAAATATCAAATAAAAAAAAATGTTTATCCCTCGGGAGTTCGAGTAAGAGTCCACTCTACTTTGAAAAGAAAGATCCTCGGAGCTCGTATTGACGAAATCAAGGGCTGTTCTTCGGACCCGCACTAATGAGAGCAAGAGTTGTCCCTCGGAAGGCTCTCTGTAGACACCCCATTTTTGACCGACCTTAAGACTCAGACGTCACCGATTGAGTGCTTGGTGATGTTGCATAATGTACTCGTTCAGAAGTTTCAGAGTCGCGGCCGTGAGCCCTGCCTCCGGACTTCCGAACCCTTTTCTGTGCCTTGTCTCGGTTTGCGAACCAGACTCGGTTTTCTCTGTTTCTTTTCCCGAGGAGAGGGAGAGGTCCCGTAGACCATCTCTCTGTGGCCGTGGGCTACATTTTGTGGCCGTAGGCCATTTTGCCCATTTCGGAGCCCAGTTTCCGGTTTTTCAGGACCGTTTGGCCGTGTGCCTCGGTTCGGGACCGCTTAACCATCTCCATTTGCAATAAATTTTGGCATACATCTTATTTGCTCCCTTTTGAGGGACACTGGAGTCTGAGAAACCCACTTCGTGGCCGAATGCCACTTTCGGTGCTTAACAGCCCATTTTCGGGACCTCGAACTGCGTGTTTTGGCCCCCGAGCATTCGTTTTGCATCGGTTTTCGTTCATTTTTGGCAGGTGACTCTATTTTATCACCAGGAAGGTCACTGGAGGGTGGGAGGCCAGCAATTATCTTGGCAACCAGTTATATTCCATTTTCGCCCTCCGACACCCGTTTTTCCCA